CCTGGGAGGCAGGAGAAGTGAAGCAGCCACGGCGTGCTCGAGGAGGAGGCGGGGCAGGGGTGAGCTGGGGTGGGGGGGTGCCTCAGGGTGGGGAGCTGCCGCGGGGGGGCGCCTCAGGGCAGGGGGGCGCACGCACAAGGTGGAAGTTTCGCCTAGGGCGCGAAACATCCTTCCATCGGCCCTGGCCTCATGCTATAAAACATATTGGAATAATTATTAATGGGGGAAATAGATGGGTTAAGAAATTAGTAACAAGGAAGAAAAACACACATAAAACGTGTAACATCTCCTGGTTTTTGCTGAGGATGGGGTGGCAATTCAAGAACAGAGAGGCTATGGGCCTGAGCCAAAGCCCAGTGAAGTCAATGGAAAGACTCCGATTGATTTCAGTCAGCATTGGATTGAGCTCTAAGTGATTTGCTCTTGAACTGTCTTGGGGTACAAATCAAACTCCAAGCATACAAATCACTCACTCAGAAAACAAATACAATGATTTTTGGGGAAATAGTTCCACAGTAGCCAAGGTTAAGCAATGAGTAGTCAGAGGCAGGAACAGAACCCATCTTTCCCGACACCCAATCTTGTACTCTAACTGTTACAGTAAAGATGCTTGACCATTTCTTAGTGAGATTATAAACTCTTCTGGGCCAGGACAGCATCCTTTTATAAGATTGTGCGTGATGCTGTACAATGGGGCTCTGCTCCTGACTGGAGCTTCTGAGTACTACCATAATCCCAATAGTCAATAATAATGTTATACAAACACATTTTGTAAAGCTTTTTCCTGCTTAAAAGTTATTCAAAGATATTCTCTGTTGCAGTCCAAATTCTTTTCCTTTATTAGAACTAAAGATATCATTAAATATTTTATTCAAAATTTTCAATTGATAGATTATTCATAGTTTCCCCACGATCAGGCAGGGCTTTAGGTGATTAAATAATATTCAGCAAAAACTATTCTTGATTTTTTCCCCCTTAATAAGGAGGAGGAGTAGGGCCTGTCTTATAGCAGCATCGTCCAGACGGACCCAGGCTTGCTCTTGCTGAGCAGTGCCCTCCCTGGGGAATTCTGCCTGGAACATTCTTACAGAGTCCAGGGAAGACAGTTTCCAGCAGAGTGAGTTGTTGTGGTTTCTTTTCTTTTTTCCCCCCCAAGTCTCCTCAACACAACAAGATCAAAACTTTCCCAAATCTATCCCTCACACCTGTAAATTCATCACCCCAAAAGGTCCTGGTGCTTACCTCAGAGCCTTTGTGATAATAGGATTTCCCACAGTCTCCCTTCTGTTCATTTGTTTCTAGAGCAGTTCTTCCCAGCAGTTACTTCAGCCTCTGGCTGGTATTGCAGCTCACTCTACCACTTCCTGCTCCTCCTTTTATGAGCATCAGCCAGTTAAGCTGCAAGTCTTTACCCAGGTGCAGCAGTTGGGGCTAATCAGCCAGCCAGCTCTGACTTCAGTGGGATGGTATCCCTTGTACCTTCACACCCCTCAATGAATTAACTGTTCCCAAATAATATTTTCATTATTTTGTTATATTGAAAATAAATACTCTATGCTGAATTTTCAAAAGTGACTAGTGATTTGGGCTGCCTCAATTTTTGGGTTGCTCAACTTGAGATACCTGAAATGGGCCTGATTTTTTAGAAATGCTGAGAACTTGCCCTCCAAAAATCTGGATCCTTCAAGATGTCTCAAGTTGAGCACCAAAAAATTGAGACACCCAAAGTCAGTAGTCATTTTCGAAAACATAAGCCTATAGTTATCCCAAACCTTTCTCCTTGCCTCAGATGGCCTGAGCAATGTTAACTGTGTTAACTACCATTTACTTTACTAAAGTGCCATTATGGATCTTAGCATGTCACCCATCTTTTCATCTTGTTTCCTAGCTATCTTTACTTGTTCTGGTTGCCCCATATCTCTCTTTTTCAGGAGTGAAGAGAAAAGATAGCTATCCAAATTGTAATCTGGTGCCTGCTATACGGGATTTCCCTTCCACAATCCCACTCTATAACTAAAGGTTAAACTAAGTAAATATCCATCATTCTATCTGTCCTTTTATAACTTGTGCCAGAATATGCATGAGTGGGTGGGTGGTCCCCTGCATTATCCTCAGAATGTGCAGATGACCATTAGCAGAGGAAATGGAAGGAACAACATGTTCATCAGTAGCAGAGCCAGAAATAGCAGACGCTGTATGTTCAAGAACACCAATAGGACTGGAGGCAGGCTCTGCCAGGGCACTTTCTATTCAAAACAGCCTACCGCAATGTTTATAGGAACGGGGAATATTGTATATTACTCACCTGAAGCTACACACTTACCCAAGATTTTGCTAAGCCCTTAAAACAAGAGGCACTACTTGAAAATTGATTGGAGAGATGGACCCTCAGACTATCAATGGCAGCTGCCGGAAAATAACTTTAAATGGGTGGAAATCATGATTTATTTCACAAAGCACAACTGTGCTCCAAAATACTGGCCTCCCAGCACCAATGAATAAAAAATAACTTCCACAGGTTGGCAGTTCACCCTTTCTTACAGCACGATTCCCATCCAAAATGAAACAGAGAAGCAAGTGTGCTGCAGCAGGAAGTGTGCTGGCTTGTCTTTTCTAATTATTTACCAGCCCACTACATTTGCATGAAAAATGCTTTCAAATGGTTGTAAAACTACAGTGTTATTTTTGTTATAAAATCTATGTATTTTCTAAAAAATACAATGTTGCTCACTATAAACAATGACTAAGGTGGTCAAAAGTGACCAGTGATTTGGTGTGCCTCGGGTTTTTGGGGAATCACCTGAAAATGCCTTAAAGGGATTGATTTTCAAAAAGTGCTAAGCACTAATTCTCTGTAAATCAGGCCCCTTTCAGGTGTTTCCAGCTGGTCATCTAAAAAATGCACTCAAAATCAATAGCCCACTTTTGAAAATCTTTATATTTTTCATTTTATCCTTGTAAAATCACTTACATAAATGAGATGTCTATTTTCTATAGATCTGTCCTTTCTCTGCATGTTTGTCCTTGTTACTACAGCAAAATACATAAGATTATGTCTTAATACAATAATAATATTTAGCTCTTTTCATCTGTAGCTCTTAAAGGAAGATAAATATCACTATCTGGGGAAACTGAGACTCGGCGAGGTTAAATAACTTCCCAAAGCCACTGTGTCAGCAGAGGCAGAGATTAGAATAAAACCCAGCTTTCTTCATTCCCACACCACTGCCCATTCGCTGGGTCATAGTGAGTATGTCTACACTACAATTAAAAACCTATGGCTGGCCTGTGCCACCTGACTTGGGTTCACAGGGCTTGGGCTAAGAGGCTGTTTAATTGCATTGTAGACTTCAGGCTCAGGCTGGACACTGGGGGGTGGGTGGATGTAGACATACCCAGTGTCTCCTACCATTCTCTTTAATAGAAAGATACATATATGTGTATTAGTATCATCCTGCTGCTAGTTTTGCTAATTAATAGTTGATACTCAGACGGTTCTTGCAACATAGTACAAAATACTTCGTTATTGATATATATCCCAGAATGAACTGTAGGCATTTGATATCCAGTTTTGGTTAATAAAATTAAAATGCTGAAGAATACACAGAAGATTGGATCATGTGACAATATGCAGTAATGTTTTTACAAACAGTTGTACTGTGCAAGATATTTTCTGAATCAATATTTTCATTTTTCTCTGAGTAGCCATGTTTATGTTTAGAATTTTACTAACATGCCAAAATAATTCAAGCGCAAAACAGCATGAATGCTTTGCAAACAAGACATTAAAGCAACCAGCACAATCATATGAATTAGCAAATTAGGCTGCCTGGTGACAAATTGTGTGCATCATCTTATTCTAAATATTGTGAGAGAACACACAAGTGAATGAATCTGTACAATCTTCATGCACTACCAGTAGGCAGACAGGAGCTTCCAAGTTCTAATTAGGTAACATTAGAAGAGAGTTTCTAAAGACAGGCTCACATTGGTGCCACTGTTTCAGAAAGGACAGGAAGAAACATGATTTATGGGGAAGAAAGGCTGAGATTGTATTAAACACAGAGACAAAGATGCAGTCAGTCCTTGCTTTGCTAAATTCGGTGGCTTCTCGCACTAGGGCTCCAATGCAGGTTGCCAGTGCACTCAGAGGACCCACCAAACGACTTATCCCTGCTGGGGCATCATGGCCCCACTGGGAGTCCATGATCCAACATGGGGTGATGGCACAGCTCTGTTCTTGCTGGTGCTCAGTTCTTTTGGCCCCATCCTACAGGTATGAACACAATCCATGCAGCTGCTGGAGCCTTAACCGCTTTCCTCGTGCTTCCAGCCTCCTGGCTCTGAAAGGTCTGGACTCCACGAAACATGTGTTAAAGCTAAAGACTAAAGATGACATTTAAAGGTCAGCAATGACCATTTCATTGCTGATCATTTTCTTGGATGGAATAGTTAGGGAGCCAGTGGGAATGAAGCTCCAAGAGGCAGGATTGGGAGTTGCTGCAGGGAAAGAAATGCAGAGAGAAGAGGAAAGACACAAAGTCAGGAAAGAGGGAGAAAAATAGAGAAAGGAGAATGGGAAAGAGAAGCAGCAAAGTGCATGAATAGAGGTGTGAGACATTATTTTCTGAGTGAAAGAAACTGAATGGAATAAAAATTAAAGTTTAGTTAACAAAGGCCTTCTAGATAAAGCCCAGATAAAAGAGGATGCTTCTGCAGTTGGGTTTGTGCCCCATGCGGGTAAAACCCTTAATGCAATAGAAACAGTTCAGTTAAACGAAAACTTGAGGTCAGGAGGGGCAGATGGAGCTCAAAACCCAAGTATGACAGAGCCCAGTGAAAGCCAAAAGGAAGCTGAGATCTCAAGACATCATATTCTGATCTGTACAAGAGTAGGCACATAGAACGTATATACTTTGTATAGTATGGAAAAGCTGGCACAGGTTTCATAAGAAATGAAAAAAATACCCTCTGAACATACTTGGCATCAGTGAGACGATATGGTCAAGGTGTGCAAGATGGTGTCTGATGGTGCTATAATCTGGTATTCAGGAGGCGGAACACATGAAAGAGATATAGGAATTATTTTGGGTAACCTTATAGGAAGACCCTGCTGGCTTGGGAGCCAGTAAACAACAGAATAACAACAGCCAGGCTGCAACCAAGGTGCGTCAAGTATACAATAATCCAAATATATCCACCAACAAATGCACCAGGTGACAATGAATTGGATATATTCTACGAGCAGATGCTGTCAGCCCTGGGGTGGAATGAGGTGCTCCAGCTGTCAGCCCCAGAGTGGGGGGGGGGGCTCCAGCTGTCAGTGCCCCACAATGCCCCAGACAGTTAAGTTGGTGGAAGCGCTCCTGCACACCCCCAACAGAAGGAGAATAGTGTGGACATGAAACATTGCTTAATTACTGCAGTGGCTGTGTGTTGACCTATTTAATTTTGTAGTGTGGACATGAGTGTAACCAAGGAACAGGTCTCTATGTGAATCTGCAGAAAGTCTGGAATAATCGCTCTGAGAGATATGAACTGACTTAATCATCTCAATCAGGACTTAACTCAGAGGCCAGTGATGATCTCAGTGTAAATGTCAACATTGTTAAATATTTCATTTCTTATGTGGGAACAGAGAGGGAGGATCACAGATCTGCACAATTTACTGAGAGGGCCATCTCAATGGGTAAATTTGGGAGATACCACCTATTCCCTCCTCCCCGTTAAGAAAAACCCAAGCTGAAGGAGCCTAGCAGAGTCCATAGACATAATGAAGCCCCATCTAGGGAAGCCAAGATCAAGGATCCCAGTAGAGCTCAGCGTGAACACATGCTCACATTCTGAACATCCACACAGCCTAATCAGCAGTATCTGATTTTGGTGACTCACATAGGAGGAGCTAATTTTGTGGGTGGAACTTTGTAGTGTACCGCCTCTTCCTTCCACCCATCTGATTCCGGACTGCAATCTTGGAAACACAGAAATATGTTTCTGGAGAGATCAGAGCAGATGGCAGCAGTTAATACACACAATTCCAATTTAACAACTGACAGCAGAGTTGAACAAATAATTAAGGATGAATCATTTATCTGATAACATTTTCCTTCCTCCCCTCCCCCCATTTGCAAAATGTCAGTGAACAGATTGTCGTTTTCTCAGATGTATTTGTTATTCAGAATTATTTGATGTATTTCACAAAACTCAATTATTTTGCAATTTGTTATTCAGAATCCAAAATTCGATATGTGTTGATTAGATTTGTCACAAAAGAACCATGCTGCCATTTCTGTTCACTGACTGGATAAGTGTAATAACACTTACAATCAATCTGCTGCTACAAACGCTCGTGGAAAGCCAATTACTATTTTAATTTCTGTGAATACTCACATGTGCAATTTTGAATTTCTCTTTCCAGGAACAATTGCGCTAAATAACAGTAAACTACATGGGTGTTTACAGACAGCAACCGCTAAAGGAGCAGGAACGTGGCTGAAGTCATAAAAAAAACAAAAAAACCTCGTACAAATATCCCTGAAAATATGCTTACAGACTAGTATTTACTCCTCCATATATAAGTAATATGATCATACCAAACAGCGATAGTATCTGTGGTGCCCAACCGTCCTGCATCATCAGCATTTCACACAGAACACTCAGTTCAAAACAAATGCAAATCAGATTATAAGGAAAAGTTACGTTTTTGTACACATTTTCAAGAGGGGTTGGGGGAAAACGACTATCCAGGCAAAGCGCATGGTTCATATGTGCTTGGATTCACCCATAGCTGTTCATCGGTGGGGATGAAGTAGCTAGCTGTATACCAATGATTTAAACCAAAATCGGATTAGATTTTCAACAAATAAACGCAAACAGCAATTTTAGAGACCACTTAGTCTAATTAGGTTCAAATTTATTGGTATACGGGATTTGTTGGCATGAGTAGACACCCGTGCCAGATTCTATTAAAAACGCAAATAAGCCACTTATAACCGGGCGAGTGCCACTCCATCGCAGACCTGACGGGACTTTTGTCTTGTGGATTTAAGGAGACCAGCTGCAGCAGTTCATTTTCCACCAGGCTACACCCTCCACGCTGCGACTGTACACATAGGTGCTGGAACTAGGGGTGCTGCTGCACCCCCTGGCTTGAAATGATTTCCATTATATACGGGGTTTGCAGTTTGGGCCAATGATTGTACAAAGAGCTAGGATAAAACGTGCCATTTTCCGATGAAAAGACAAAGAGCCCCCCTCATTTCTTTATCCACTTAAAATATCTCCTATTCAGAACAAAATGTTGTGACGAGGTAACCGACAGCCCAGCCGACTGACATTTGCTTAAAACGTTATGTTACAAAAGATTTACCTGGAACATCATAATAACCAAAAAAGATAATGACTGGTTTCAAAGTGGTAGTTTGTTAGTCTGTATCAGCAAAAACAACGAGGAGTCCTTGTGGCACCTTAGAGACTAACACATTTATTTGGGCATAAGCTTTCGTGGACGAAGTGGGTTTCAGCCCACGAAAGCTTATGCCCAAATAAATTTATTAGTCTCTAAGGTGCCACAAGGAATCCTCCTTGTTTTTGCAGATAACATAATGTGTAAGGAAAGGGAACAATAGCTCCCCTAAACCTTTAAAAATCATACAGGCAGAGGCTTGAGAGGCTGTTGCAGAGGGCAAGGGTATCTCCACAGTGTAACAAACTGAAAAGGGTCAGTTGACTCGTGTGTGTGTGATTCAAACTCACTCAAAGACATTCAAGAATTTGACATCTGCAGAGCTCCGAACCTGGTCTGACTACAAGAATCAATTCAAACACTTTAAGCCTGTTCTGCCACGATTTTGCCCAGGAAGGGAAGAGACGTACAGAAAATCCCCAACAAGCTGTGGGCTGCATATTGCTAAGGGTCAGGCGTGAGTGGAACGCTGCTGATGGGAGAACGGTGACTCCACAGAGCCAGAGTCACACCCAAGTGGACACATGGCAATAGAAAAACTACAGGATGGGAATCAGCTGAGCAGCTGAGGAATCCAACGGCTTTGTCTTGGAGACTCCTGTTCCCAAAGGAAAATTTCCATCCCTTCCATCAACGGGACAGAAGGGGAGGCGAGAGAAAGGAGCCGAGCTCCCTCCTGCCCAGCAATGAGATGTCCTTGCACAAGATGCAGCTCACAGTGTTATCCCACCAGACGGTAAGGGACTGTCTATGAACTTGTACACGATAGCCAAGGTTTGGCCCGGATGGGCGGCAGGGCTGTTTGCCTGTGTGTCCATCAGCCCTCTGGGGGCAGAGTAGAGCTCCCCGGGCCGAGTTCTGGTCTCACTTGTCCAGGTGTGACTCCGGAGTCACTCCACAGGCGGCCAGGTTTACACGGGTGCCTGGGAATCCGTTCCGATCGGCTTGCAGGGCCAGGAGAAGGGCCGGGAGAAGAGGCCCTGCCGGCGCCCCGCGCATCTGCTTGCTGCTGCCCTCAGGCAATTTACCAGTGAGGCCGCCAGCCTGGCGCTCGCTCCCTCCCCGCCGGGTCGCCCGCCCAGGCCACCCAGGCAGCGCGGGCCTGCCCAGTGCTCATGCGCTCGTGGAAGGGTTTAAAGCGCGCGCGGGACTCGCGGCGCTGTCACAGGCACCAGCCGCAGCAGCAGCGCGTCGGGCAGCGTCGCCAGCCGGGCAGAGTGCTGCAGCTCCCGGGGGTGGGTTGTCTTCCACCGGCCCCCACCAGGCTGTGCCCGCCAGGAGCTCCCGGGGCTGGTCCCCAGGGGTCCGAGCGGAGCCAAGCAGCCCGTGCCTGGGCGCAGGAAAGCCCGCCCTCCCCACGCGAGCCCCGCGCAGGTGCCCACACTCCACCTCCCAGCCCGGAGCCAGAGACACCCCGAGGCTTGGCCACCGACGCCCCTAACTCCACCTAACTCCACACCGGGGGGGAGGGGGCGCCTTGTTAACCCTGCCGCTGCCGAGCGCTGCGCTGAAGTTCTCTTCCCTCTCCCCAGGTGCCAGTGTGCGCGGCCGCCATGTCTCCTGTGCTGATGCTGCTAGGTGAGTAGCGCCTCCGCGTCCCCCGGTCACCGCACCCCGCCTGCCCGCGCGGCGCGGCGCGGCGATCCGCTCCGAACCCCACGGCCAAGCGCGCCCGCACCCAGTTACCCTGCTCGGCTGTGGGACCGCTACTGAATCCCTCTGTCTCTGATTACAGGTGGCTTCCTGCTGGCCAGCCCGGTGCGGGCAAGCGACGGCTCGGGTGAGTTGATATTCTCCGTTATTTCTCAGAGGCTCCGTTTTATACATAGAGCTGAGCCAGTTCGACACATTAGTGATCATCTCCCTCTACAACCCCGGACATACATTTCCAGCGTAGGGCTTGACTTAAGGGAGTTCCGCAATTGCTAAATATAAATTTGCGCTTAATTTTTTTATTTAGATTTGTTTAAAATGTCTAATTGTGGCGCGTTCAAGCATCTCTGTAACTATTCACGGCTTTAATAGTCACACACCAAGTGCAAGTTAAACCAAGTACAAAAGCAGCGTGTCTTGTCATTGTAGAATCCTTTTCTATCTCACCTGAAAATTTCTTACTTTAACTGTGATAGGAAAATAATAATTCTTTGTGTATGGGCTACCGGGAATTTGTTTATGCTCTAAGGTAAGAAATGACTGAACACACAGTAGCCTTTTCTCTTTTATATAAAGACTAGCACCAGCATGTCCTTGCTTTTCGCATAGTATTAGCAAATTCTGTTAAACAGGCAAATATTCAGACTAATACCACATTGATGGGATCACATCTCAGAGCTCATAGGACTATTTGTTTGTTGAATTTAGATGCTAGCTGCGTCTCTTTACCCTATCATGCAGTCATTGGGTTACTGAGCCACTGCTAGCTGCTCCAGCGTTAAGACTGCAGCACCATTTCTGTTCAAAACTGGATTTTCAAAGTGCTCTGAAATCCACATGTATATATTGAAGAAAAAAAACAATGCTGTTTCCATATGGGATGGGATGTAGCACCAACCTTTCCTTCCCTGCATACTATCTGTCCGGTTGTGAAAGAGAATTTTGTGATGGGGCAACTGTTAACTAACACTTC